TTTCAATTGTAGACAGAACGACGGACAGACCGACGGACAGACGGACGGACAGACAGACGGACGGACGGACGGACAGACAGACAGACAGACAGACAGACGGACAGACAGACAGACAGTTCCCCTCAAGACAGTAAAGTATTAATTACTCTGATATAATATAAAGTGTAATTGATATTCTTGTAATTAAGGTTGTGTGATAATTAGTAATTGATTGTTGTGGTAATAATCCCAAGAGAGGTGATTGGTGGGTGCTCTCTCTCTCTCTCGGGACTCTGTAAACACAAACATCAAGGGACTCTGTAAACACAAACATCAAGGGACTCTGTAAACACAAACGTCAAGGGACTCTGTAAACACAAACGTCAAGGGACTCTGTAAACACAAACATCAAGGGACTCTGTAAACACAAACATCAAGGGACTCTGTAAACACAAACATCAAGGGACTCTGTAAACACAAACGTCAAGGGACTCTGTAGCCCTGGAAGCATCAAGGAGCTCTGTAAGCACAAACATCAAGGGACTCATAAGCTTCAAACATCAAGGGACTCTGTAAAAGCACAAACATCAAGGGACTCTATAAACACAAACATCCAAGGACTCTAAACACGAACGTCAGGAACTCTGTAAACACAAACATCAAGGGAATATATAAGCACAAACATAAAAGGGCTCTGTAAACACAAACATCAAGGACTCTGTAAGCACAAACATCAAGGGACTCTGTAAACACAAACATCAAGGGGACTCTGTAAGCACAAACATCAAGGGACTCTGTAAACACAAACATCAAGGGACCCTGTAAACACAAACATCAAGGAACTCTGTAAACACAAACATCAAGGGACCCTGTAAACACAAACATCAAGGGACCCTGTAAACACAAACATCAAGGAACTCTGTAAACACAAACATCAAGGGACTCTGTAAACACAAACATCAAGGGACTCTGTAAACACAAACATCAAGGGACTCTGTAAACACAAACATCAAGGGACTCTGTAAACACCAACATCAAGGGACTCTGTAAACACAAACATCAAGGAACTCTGTAAACACCAACATCAAGGGACTCTGTAAACACAAACATCAAGGGACTCTGTAAACACCAACATCAAGGGACTCTGTAAACACCAACATCAAGGGACTCTGTAAACACAAACATCAAGGAACTCTGTAAACACAAACATCAAGGGACTCTGTAAACACAAACATCAAGGGACTCTGTAAACACAAACATCAAGGGACTCTGTAAACACAAACATCAAGGAACTCTGTAAACACAAACATCAAGGGAATCTGTAAACACAAGCATCAAGGAACTCTGTAAACACAAACATCAAGGAACTCTGTAAACACAAACATCAAGGGTCTCTGTAAACACAAACATCAAGGGTCTCTGTAAACACAAACATCAATGGACTCTGTAAACACAAACATCAAGGGACTCTGTAAACACAAACATCAAGGGACTCTGTAAACACAAACATCAAGGGACTCTGTAAACACAAACATCAAGGGACTCTGTAAACACAAACATCAAAGGACTCTATAAGCACAAACATCAAGGGACTCTGTAAACACAAAACGTAAAGGGACTCTGTAAGCACAAACATCAATGAGCTCTGTAAGCACAAACATCAAGGGACTCTGTAAACACCAACATCAAGGGACTCTGTAAACACAAACATCAAGGGACTCTGTAACACAAACATCAAAGACTCTGTAAACACAAACATTAAGGGACTCTGTAAACACAAACATTAAGGGACTCTGTAAACACAAACATCAAGGGACTCTGTAAACACAAACATCAAGGGACTCTGTAAACACAAACATCAAGGGACTCTGTAAACACAAACATCAAGGGACTCTGTAAACACAAACATCAACGGACTCTGTAAACACAAACATCAACGGACTCTGTAAACACAAACATTAATGGACTCTGTAAACACAAACATCAACGGACTCTGTAAACACAAACATCAACAGACTCTGTAAACACAAACATCAAGGGACTCTGTAAACACAAACATCAAGGGACTCTGTAAACACAAACATCAAGGGACTCTGTAAACACAAACATCAAGGGACTCTGTAAACACAAACATCAACGGACTCTGTAAACACAAACATCAAGGGAATCTGTAAACACAAGCATCAAGGACTCTGTAAACACAAACATCAAGGACTCTGTAAACACAAACATCAACGGACTCTGTAAACACAAACATCAAGGGTCTCTGTAAACACAAACATCAAGGGACTCTGTAAACACAAACATCAAGGGTCTCTGTAAACACAAACATCAAGGGACTCTGTAAACACAAACATCAAGGGACTCTGTAAACACAAACATCAAGGGACTCTGTAAACACAAACATCAAGGGACTCTGTAAACACAAACATCAAGGGACTCTGTAAACACAAACATCAAGGGACTCTGTAAACACAAACATCAAGGGACTCTGTAAACACCCTCTGGATATTCGTTTCTCACAATCATTTCCACGAAGTGTTTGTGCGTTTGTTTGTGAAGATATTAAAACGTTGTATGAATTTCCTGTTATCAAAATAGCTGACTGCGTTTGGAAGTTGGTAACCAGGATATATAATTTGGGATACAGTAATTTACAACACAACTTTCTGGTTTAAGGCAATATTGTGTGTGGCTATTAGTTGCATATTTATAGCTATTAGAATATTCACAAGGTTAATAATATTCATTTTTAGTTTCAGCGTTCATACATGCAATTTCGTGTTATATATTTTGATATTAATTTTTTTTCCCATTAGATGAAACAAATTCGTTGTCATATCCATTTAATTTTGGTTTTTAATTAATAAATAAATATATCTTTGTAGAAACTTGTTGATATAGATATTTTTTTAATGGTTATATATGCAAAAAAAAAAATTCCTCAGTGCCTTGTGTGGCTTTTGGATCAGAATATTATAGTTAGACGTCTATAATTTATCTTCCGTTTTCTTCGTCGTTACAAAGAAAATGGTCACAGCTTAGGACCATAACACGGAGATAGGTGGACTGATAGATCGATAGGTGATGAATGAAGGATAGGAGGATGATAGATAGTTAAACAGGAGGTAGAGAGTGTGTGTTTGGGTGTGTGAAAGAGTGTGTGAGTGTGGTTGTGTAAGAGGGAGTGTGTGTGTGTAAGTATGTGTGTGTGAGTGTTTGTAAAAGAGAGATAGAGTGTGTGAGTGTATGAGAGAGAGTGTGTCTGGGTGTGTGTGTGTGTGTGAGAGAGAGTGTGTCTGGGTGTGTGAGTGTGTGAGAGAGAGTGTGTCTGGGTGTGTGAGTGTGTGAGAGAGAGTGTGTCTGGGTGTGTGAGTGTGTGAGAGAGAGTGTGTCTGGGTGTGTGAGTGTGAAGAATAAGATAGGCGGGTGTATTGTAAACTTTGCCCTGGTAGTTCGGTGTCGCCCTCTACAGCACTGGACGATAATGGAGAAACTCAATGATGTCTGAATGAATGTTTGGTCCTTCTGACTTCTTCTCTATCCACACGCTTCTATCCTCCCTTCCTCCCTCTTCTTCTTCTTCCTCCTCCTCTCCTCCTCTTCTCCTCTCTCCTCTCTTCCTCCTCCTCTTCCTGCCCCACCTCCCCCTCCTCACCTCTACCCACGCAACCACGTCTGTTTAAACCATCACTTGCCACACTTCTTCCCCTTCCCTCCCCTCCCCCTTCCCCCTTCCCTTCCCCCTTCCCCACTAGTTGTCTTTTGTGTCCACTGTATGTTTGTCTTGGACATGTTCAGTATGTCTGTCTGTCTGTCTGTCTGTGTATGTATGTATGTGTGTATGTGTGTGTGTATGTATGTATGTGTCCTGGTAAAAGTATACAGGATTTCTCAGGCTCGTATTTGTTTCTGTTCATGGATCTCTCTCTCTGTGATGGCGTGTGGTTGTGCACTTAGCAATATCTTTACATTGTTATAGAGGGCGGGAGCGGGGGGGTGAGTGGGAGGGAGGAGAGGGAGAGGAGGGGTGAGAGGGGGAGGAGAGGCGACTGGAGGAGACGGAAAAATAAAAGACGGAAGAGACAAACAGACAGACAAAAGAGAGAGAGAGAGAGAGAGAGAGTTCCAGGAAGCCGCATTATATCACATTAAGCTAACCCCCTGTGCAGCTGGTCCTGGTTTGATGAGTTGACTGTCTATCTGACTGTCTGTCCGTCTATTTATCTGTCTTTCTGTTTTTGTATATTTATTTGTCTTTGTCTGTCTGTCTGTATTTCTGTCTACCTGTCTGTATGTATGTGTGTGTATAGTTAAATATCTGTCTATCTGTCTTAATAGTTATATATTTATTACGTTAACTTGTGATTCTAACATTTTAATATAATATTATTCTTATCTTATTAAGGTACAATTCTATCATGTTAAATTGAAATTATTCTAGCATGTTAATTTAGGCTCTTCATATATGTATCATGTTAAACAGAGAAATTAACATTATTGAAATATGGCTTCCTTGATATCAACATTTTTAACTGATAAAGTAATAGTTATTTTATAGATATTTTTAGTTTTAGTTTTTAATTTTGTTTATTTTAACTTTTGGTTTTAATAATTTATCATAGCAACTCTCTTCAACTTCTAAATTTAACATCAATATTTTTTTTATACTTTATTATAACCAAATTTTAATGTTAATCTGTAATTTCAACACCGAATCCCCCAACTTAAATTTTAACACTTATGAAATATCCCTAATTTTTAACATCCAGACAAGTAAAATTAGCATATTTAACATGATAACTATACACTAAGGAATATTGTACACGATAAGTCATAATAATTCCAAGACCTATTTTAACATATAACCCTATCCCATTAACTGGTAATATTAACACCAATTAGGGCCCTTTAACTGGTAATATTAACACCAATTAGGGCCCTTTAACTGGTAATATTAACACCAATTAGGGCCCTTTAACTGGTAATATTAACACCAATTTAACATGTTAACTTCGCAGGGCGTGGGGTGGATGATGGGTACTCGTGGGGGCGACATCTTGGCCTCTCGTAAGCCTTTCAGCGCCCAGATGGCACGTCACCCTACCTGCCCCTCTGACCACCAGGTGAGTGCCCAGGTAGACTAATTAAAGATAGATTCATTCATAATACGTTTATCCAGGTAAGCGCCCAGGTAGACTCCCTAGTGGCATCCCTACCCAGGTGAGTGCCAAGGTCGAGTGCCAAGGTAGATATGTAATTAATGGTACGTCTGCCCAGGTAAGAGTGCCTAGGTAGATTGATTAAAAGTAGACTCATTGACACAATCTACCTGAGTAAATGCCCAGGTAGATGCTTTTAGACTCATTGATGCGTTGACTCGCTCGTAAGCAGACAGATTGATGACTTAAGTGACCAATTGATGACTTGAGAGATTCATTGATGACTTGAGTGACTTGATTGATGACTTGAGTGACTTGATTGATGACTTGAGTTACTTGATTGATGACTTGAGTGACTTGATTGATGACTTGAGTGACTTGATTGATGTTAGCTCACCTGTACTGGTCAGTCATTGATGTTAGTTGAGTAAGAAGGCTCCTGTAGACTCATTGATGACAGGGTGGGTGGATGATAGATACATAGGTGGATAGATGGATGGATGGATTGATTGATTGATTGGATAGGGAGTAAAAGGAGTTAATTGGAGGGTTGAGGTGTGGGTTAATTAGAGTAGGTGAGGAAGAGAGGAGGAGGAGGAGGAAGAGAGGAAGAGGAGGAGGAAGAGAGGAAGAGGAGGAGGAAGAGAGGAGGAGGAAGAGAGGGAAGAGGAGGGAGGGAAGAGGGAAGAGGAGGAGGGGTAAGGTGTGTGTAGAGGTGAGGAAGGCATGTGTTGAGGAGGAGGGGGAAAAGTGACAGGTGTGTGTGGAGGTGTGGATAACAGAGTGAGGAGTGACAGGTGTGGGCTGTATCAGGTGTGTGTGGAGGGAGGGAGGGAAGGAGGGGTGAAAGGGTAGTGAAGGGGAAAGAGGGGTGAAAGTAGGGTCGTGGAGATGGTGGGTAAGGAAAGGGGTGAGGAAAGGGTTAAGTGGAGTGGGAGATGAAGGGAAGGGGTCAGGGAGGGAGAAGAAATGGGTGATAGGGGGTGAGGGAGGAGACAGGAGGAATATGAGAAAGCGGGAAGGGAGGAGGGGGGCAAGACGGTGTGGTGACTGTGGGGGTGGGGATGGGGGGTTGTATTGTCGAGGAGAGGGGGAGAGAAGGGAGAGAGTGACTGATGTTATGGCTGCTAGGGCATTTGTGTGGGAGAGGGGTGGAAGGGGAGTAACTAGAAGGAAGAGGAGTGGACGAGAGAGGAATGGGGGGGAGGAGAGAGACAAAGGAAGGAGAGGTGAGGGAAAAAGGAAAGGAGAATAAAATGAGGAAGTAGATAGAATAAAAGAGAGGAAGAAGGAGAGGAGGAAGAGAAGGGTGTGAAAAATACAGAGGAGGAATAAGAAGGAAGAGAAATAAAAGGTAATTTAGATATGAAGAGAAGAAGATCAGGAAAGGGAGAATAGAGGAGAATGAGAGAGAAAATAACATAGACAAGAAGGAAGGAAAGAAGGAAAGGAGGGAGGGAGGGATTAATGGTAAACAAACAGTAGGGGATACAGGTACAAATTTTTATCACGACAACCAGCAACAGACCTCCACACACACACACACACACACACACACCGCCCTTCACCGGCACCACTAGCATACCTCCATCCGATTCCCAGAAGATCTTACGTTATATTTTTCCTCGTAGCTAAAGACGTGAGAGCGCATCTAACTTGCCCACTTTGGCCCACGACACAATGATAAGGTGAGGTGGGGTGGGGTGGGGTGGGGTGAGGTGGGGTGGGGTGGGGTGAGGTGGGGTGGGGTGGTGGCAGGATACAGGATAGAGAAAAATTGTTAACCGTACGTGACTGCTTTTCAGAATACCACTTGTGTTGTCGTGGCTTTGAGAGATAAAATATTTAGTCTCGTTTTAACTTGGTGATGAAAATGTTTAACTTACGAACCTAAACAAAATTGATCTGTAGGTTATTTTTATCTTTTAAAATTTAACTCTTATGAATTATCTAGTGAGTTTGGCAGGTAGTCCCTCTATAACTAACACACTAACTTAACAAATATGGGATTATATAGATAGTGAAAAGTAAATTAACCCACACATGTTGAATGTTGTAAATAAAATGTAAACATTAATTCGGAAAAAAATGTATTAGGGATATTTTTACACCTGATTGGTTTACAAAACATATATAATAGTAATTTTTTTTTTGTTAAGGTGTAAAGGTAGACCGTATGAGGAAGTAACAGTGTTTAGATAATTGATTTATGGTACTCAGGCTAGGGTGACATCGTTCTCTGTAGTATCCCCTTTAAGAGGTATCATAGAAAATGGGTTTTATACATGAAGGGGTGACTGACTTAAAAACACTTAGTCTAGTTTCTTCCCTCCTTAACTCTTCTAACTCGACTCTGGTGAAGAAGTACCTTGAACTGGATCACTAAGGCCTCGGTAAAAGCTTCGTTAAAGCCTCTAATATCGGTCCCAAACTCACGATATTGGGACCGACTTGATATTGATATTGAAACAGACAAAATTCGATAAATTTAACATAAGAAATATATCAGAAAATCCTATAAAATTTTTAAATAGACGAAATAATTCTTTTAGTTAAACATTTGTACTAATAGAAAAAATATAAAATTGAACTTAGAATAAAAATAAATAAGAAAATAATGAACTTACGAAATAATGTAGAAGTAAAACTAAACTTAAAAACATCAAAATAATAAATAATCTTTTTTAAAAACATCCACATGAACTTAGAAAAAATAAATAAAATAAAAATAAAATCTAAAGGAATGACAAGACTACCAGATGAACTTAGGGGTAAACGAAGACTTTCATAATTAAAACTTTCCACCATAATAAGAAAAAAAAAAGAACTTTGAGAATTTGAAAAAGTTTGGGGAACCTGATATAATATTGTCTTTATTTTAATTTATTTATTTTTTACACTAGGGACATGTGTAAGATCTCTCTCTCTCTCTCTCTCTCTCTCTCTCTCTCAAACATGTTAAGTTCAGTTCAGGTGTTAAATTAGGTTAGGTTAGATTTAGGGGGTTTAGTCAAGTTAGGTTAGGTGAGGTACATAGAGTTACAGGTAATATTACAGGTACAGACAAATACAGGTACAGGTATTACGAAGGACAGGTAACAGTAATGGTACAAACTCAGGTACAGAGAAGAAAAGTACAGAAACAGTTATAATTACAGGTACTTACAGGTATAATTACAGTTACAGGTACAGCTACAGAAACAATTACAGGTAGTTACAGGTACAATTAGTATACACAGGTACAGTTACAGCTACAGAAACAATTACAGGTAGTTACAGGTATAATTACAGTTACAGGTACAATTTCTATAAACAGGTACAATTACAGCTACAGAAACAATTACAGGTAGTTACAGGTATAATTACAGTTACAGGTACAATTTCTATAAACAGGTACAGTTACAGCTACAGAAACAATTACAGGTAGTTACAGGTATAATTGGTACTAAACAGGTACAGCTACAGAAACAATTACAGGTAGTTACAGGTATAATTACAGTTACAGGTACAATTTCTATAAACAGGTACAGTTACAGCTACAGAAACAATTACAGGTAGTTACAGGTATAATTACAGTTACAGGTATAATTAGTATAAACAGTTACAGCTACAGGAACAATTACAGGTAGTTACAGGTACAGGTATATATATATTGATGAAGTTAAACAATGCCATACCTGGGTGGTGTGTCACCTGGCCTGATGGTGTCACAGTATTGATGTTGTCTGGTGTTAAAAGTATTTATTTGGTAGGTTGTGTACGAGTCTTGGGTGGTGGTGGTGGTGGTGGTTGTGGTTGTGGTGGTGGTGGTTGTGGTGGTGGTGGTTGTTGTGGTGGTGGTGGTTGTTGTTGTGGTGGTGGTGGTGGTGGTGGTGGTGGTGGTTGTTGTTGTGGTGGTGGTCGTTGTGGTGGTGGTGGTCGTTGTGGTGGTGGTGGTTGTGGTGGTGGTGGTTGTTGTTTGTGGTGGTTGTTGTGGTGGTGGTGGTTGTGGTGGGGGTGGTTGTGGTGGTTGTGGTTGTTGTTGTTGTGGTGGTGGTGGTTGTGGTAGTGGTGGTGGTGGTTGTTGTTGTGGTGGTGGTGGTGGTGGTGGTTGTGTGGTGGTGGTGGTGGTGGTTGTTGTGGTGGTGGTTAATGTGGGTTGTTGTGGTGGTGGTGGTGGTGGTGTGGTGGTTGTGGTTGTTGTGGTGTGGTGGTGGTTGTTGTGGTGGTGGTTAATGTGGTTGTGTGGTGGTTGTTGTGGTGGTTGTGGTGGGGGTGGTTGTGGTGGTTGTGGTTGTTGTTGTGGTGGTGGTGGTTGTGGTAGTGGTGGTGGTGGTTGTTGTTGTGGTGGTGGTGGTGGTGGTGGTTGTGGTGGTGGTGGTGGTGGTGGTGGTTGTTGTGGTGGTGGTTAATGTGGTTGTGGTGGTTGTTGTGGTGGTGGTGGTGGTGGTGGTTGTGGTTGTTGTGGTGGTGGTGGTGGTGGGTGGGGGTGGTTGTTGTGGTGGTGGTTAATGTGGTTGTGGTGGTGGTGGTGGTGGTGGTTGTGGTGGGGGTGGTTGTGGTGGTTGTGGTTGTTGTTGTTGTGGTGGTGGTGGTGGTGTTAGTGGTGGTGGTGGTGGTGGTGGTGGTTGTGGTTGTTGTGGTGGTGGTGGTGGTGGTGGTGGTGGTGGTTGTGGTGGGGTTGGTTGTGGTGGTTGTGGTTGTTGTTGTGGTGGTGGTGGTGGTGGTGGTTGTGGTGGGGGTGGTTGTTGGTGGTTGTGGTTGTTGTTGTTGTGGTGGTGGTGGTGGTGGTGGGTGGGTGGTGGTGGTTAATGTGGTTGTGGTGGTGGTGGTGGTTGTGGTGGGGGTGGTTTTGGTGGTTGTGGTTGTTGTTGTTGTGGTGGTGGTGGTTGTGGTGAGTGGTGGTGGTGGTGGTGGGGTTGTGGTTGTTGTTGTGGTGGTGGTGGTGAGTGGTGGTGGTGGTGGTGGTGGTGGTTGTGGTTGTT